TTAGCTTCCATTGTGGCTTTCTATAGGATTGCGATATGCCTTTCGAGGGATATGATTATATTTCCATTACAACCGAACAAGTCAGGCCCCCAATCAACGAAAATCCAAGAAAAAAACTTCCGTCTGACTAGAAACCCAAAGCACTGATGGAATCTCTATCAAACTGTTGAGCCGATTTATATGCAATCACAACTCTTGTCTTTGGTTTAAGAATTGGAGAAAAACAATGTGCAATATTCTCACCTCGAAGTATGGAGTCCATTTGAACTGTGGCCGTCAGATGCGAGAGACTAGCGAAATTACAGATCCTACCAATAATTAAAATTTAGAATAACAAGTCGCAAGCATTACGAGTTGTAATATATGTAAATAAAAATGACAACCATATCAAAAAGTCCTGTTAGTAATTACGGCAGGTGCATGAACCTTGTTGATATTATCTAATAAAAACTTGACATCAGAGGGGGTCCGAACGGATTATATTTCCAAATTGCCTAAGATCAAGGGATGTCTTTCGATCGTGTTATGAATAATATTGCGAACAGTTTCTGAATATGATAAACTAACGAAACTTTATTTCAATTCATTAACAAATTGTAAAGAACGCAAAACGTTCTGGTGTTTATAGCTAAAATGACATTTTCAGTAACACGATAGAAATTTGATTTACATTTTGGAAAAAAGTTGAAACTTCTTTACCATAATATTCAAAACTGATATATGCAGTAGACCTTGAAAAGGGAGAATATGATAAACAAACTTTCCTATCTCGAAAATTGATGATCAGGCTTTGGGTATTTTAGCTAACAAGCTCAGTAAGGTAAGGTAAACATGTTGTTATTATTTTCAGCAACAAGTGCAATGCCGCACGATCCTAAATCGTATCGAAAACCCCAATGTTGCTTTTTATTCAAATTTGGGTGCTGTTCTTGAAATCAATCTAACACGCATATTTTATGAAGGAAAACAATATATTATTTACACTCTCTCTTCAAATTGATCTTTTAATTTTGTTCTTGAAATAAGAAATGTATATTTAAAGAATATATTTGAAATTAGCAACGGGCGACATTGATGACTAACAATTTTCAATTTCATAGGAAAACAAGTCGACACTAAATCTTTTATTTGGCTGCCAAAAACACATCACTAAACGACTTCGAAAAAAAAGAAAAGAGATGACATCCTAATAATACATGGGCAAAATATTCCATTGCAAGAAAGGAGAAGGCTGGATAAAGTAAAGCAAAACTCGAAATATCAGGAAATCTGGATGGCATAAATTTCAAATCGGAAGCAATTGAGGCCGATAAAGGGGTGACATATGAGATCAAAAGCTTTTTGCCTACCATTTACCGCTTTGTAAAAATAATTTCTTCTCCCTCAATTCTAAAATGCTTATTTTTCAATTTTGAAACTTAAACCGTAACTCCATATTTTGTCGTTATATTGGTAATAACAAAAAATAACGATAACAATAATGATAATATTGATAACATACAGTGAATCCAAGACCGGAGACTTCAAACTATTGTACATAAATGAATTTAAAGTAAATGCAAAACTAAACAACTTCGGAAAAAAAAGAAAAAAATTACATACTCGGCAGGCATTATTGTTGCTAAGGTATTACTTATTTCTCAACAGATATAATTCGCTCGCTCATTTTTAATGACCCTGATGAGTTATTTTTCATATATTTTTTCGTTAAATATTTGAAAAGTGTAACATAAACCTTGACGATAATTCTAATACTGAGTATCAGAGCTCATCTCAGTACGCTCTTTGTAGGTGGTGCCGCTTAAGGATATTTGGGCTTTGAACTTTCACATTTGAATAGCTAGATATCCTATGGCGATCAAACAATGGACACAATAAAGTAAACAGTACGTTTCCATAAGCGCTCGCAAAGACGCAATTGTTAAAATGAAATAACAATTCGTGGGTTATTTTTACAGCTTGCGCATATTACACAAACCTTTTGACACAGCTTTATGTTCATCAAAGGCAATTCCTACTATTATCATTCACAATTTTTTCGCACCTTCTACTTACAGCATTTTCCTACATTTCTAAAGGGATGAATCTAAAATCGGGGTCTATTTATTTGTTTCACTTGACACAAAGACGTGGCGTGGGAAAAAATGTCTGTGTTCATGGCCAGTTTTTATTTTAGGATGCAAGCACGGTTTGAGAAGAGTGACAAAACATCATTGAACGTCTAAGTAAAAGTTTTAAATTAAAAACCTTTTCTTTACCTATTCATATATATCATTCCTAGGGTTTCGTGCATATAGACACCTACTCTTCATGAACAAAAAAATAATGGAATAAAAATTAACTTTAGTCGTCTTTGTTTGGTGAGAGCATTCTCATATTTACTGTTGAAAACACCCTCCAAACCTAATATAAAATATAGAAATGTTGCCATGAAGCTTAAGAAATGTGAGTGTAGCAATGGAATTCTCTTGCCACTAAATTACATTTTGATATCGAATGGAGTAATCTCGCTGAGAAGCAGAGCAACATTATGCTAATATGTATAATGAAAAAGCTGCGGTCTCTAGCAAGGCAATTCAGCAAAAATAAACTTGAAAATGCCCAAAGCTGCCTAAAATTTCCCACCTTTTTAGGACAAAATCAACCAGGAAAAAATATTAGCATACACTGTATCTCCATTTTTTACATAAGACACCGGTTGCAATTACATATCGTGGTGTTATCTTCCTGAGTAACAAGAACGTGTAACATCGAGTATACATAATAAGAAATTTGATTCAGATTTCTCGTCGAGTACCTTTGGTCGTTGTTGGGCTGCTTCTTGAAATATCTCACCAAAAATTCAGTCTCTGTTTTAGACCTCTTATGTCCACTCTCTGAGCCGTAATAGCCGCAAATGCGATAGTTAACTCCTATCACGGAAAGATAACATCGGAAAGATCACTTGTAAGTCACGGAGGCCATCAGGGAGGATGTAAACACAATCATGTTTGACGTCAAGCGGTAATCTTCTCGAATGTTATACCATTAATAAATTGATAAGTTTTCATGGCTGTGTAAATTTGTCATTGCCTAATATTCTCGGAAGGAAACGAATAATTCAAATAAAACACATTTCTATAGAAATTAAGCTAATCAAAAACATCACGTATTTTGCTATTCAGTGAAAATATTCGTTTGAAATGAAAAAAAAGATGTGTGGGGCTTTCCGGTGCAATAAAATTTCTTTGAATCATAGGATCAAAATTTCTCAATTTTTAATATAAACAAAACTTTATTCCTAATGATTTCAGAGGAGTCAGTCTGTGTGTCTTTCTAATTCTGCTAATTTGAAATAAAGTTAATGACGAAATTTTGTTTTCTCCGCAGGATAACACTTAAAACACCAAATTTCGCTGACATCTGTAGACATTCGTAAAAGTATATCTGCATAATCAGATCTAGATTGACATCAAAATGATCACAAACGGAATTATTTACTTCTTAAACATACATCAATTTATTTAAGCGGACACTTAAACCTATATTTATCATATGAAAGTTTTCTGTGTTCAAATAGAGAATAGAGGACTATTTTTTTGAAAAAATCTGATAACTCCGAAAATCACTTTACTACATTTTTTCCTTAAAGCGACGACTGAAAGACAACTGAACAGGAGGGCAGAATGATAAATCATTTATGATAATTTGCCTCTTAGCTTGAAAAAGTGTAAAACTTTTCCCTTACTTCAATTTAACCAGCCTGGCGTACGTATGTTCCGCACCAGACACGTGGAGCTCTCACATAGAATAAATATTTAATCTTAATACAAAATTATTTCACCGGGTGGGAGTGACGTTTATTCATTGCAGCCGAAGGAGGTTTTAATAAGGTTGTGCAAAGATGTGAAAATGTCACAAAATTTTACAAAGAACTCAAAACGATACAAAATTTTGGTCAAATAAAAGAATAAACGATTTTTTCGGCCTCTGAAGGTGGGAAGTAACCTTAAAACCGGAAGAAAAGGACACAAGCCTTAGATGCAAAGCGAAAGCAACAAAAACTTGAACTCGAGGTGGAGCGCAACAAGCATTTTGAAGAACTGGCATGTTCCCCTTTTTGTATTCAGAATACAACATCAACAATGAATTAATTTGACAGTGGCCAACATTTTCCTTCCTGTAACAGTATTTCTTAGTAGTTTTCGTGTTGCCCTTCGAGAGGATCTCCGCGTCATCCGCACGTCCAAACGCTTGAATCTGTTGTTTGTCTTGTTAGGGTCAGTTGACGGGGTTCAGGAACACTGAAATCTAAGACGACGCCCTCAAAACATCCTGTACATAATGTTCAATCTTTATGGACAAAGACGGCCAAAGCGTGATCAGACTTCTCTATCTGTTGTTGCAGGGCAATGCTTGGCTAATAATTAGAAAATAAACATAAGAAATCTAAATCGAAAAAAAAAATTAATCTTAGCTAAGACGGTTGTGGTAAGACGAAATATTTATTGTTGGAACGACTGCCGCATGGTAGCAATATGAAAACAAATTTAAGAGAGGATGAAGCACCGAGACAGAATAAATGCAATATCCGCCGCATTTATTGCACTTATCATGGAAACTTTTGTATATTGATTGAATGCTCTCGACCGGTTAGATTTCTCAATGAAAATAAAAAAAATTCCAGGTTATACATTTATTGTTAACTGCCATGCCATGTTCAGTAAAATTGGTTGACTCGACTGTTTTTGTGCTTGAGCTGAGTTGGAGAGTGCGGAAATCTTTGTTTCCGAGATGATCGAGAGTATTAGAAAATACGGAACACCTAATATCCATACCCAAGGATTATACCGTAATCTAAAATGTAGCAAAAAACAGTGACACCAGAGGAAAGCCAAACGGCAGTTAATTTCATATACGTGCGCGCCAATGTTATAATTTGTTTCATATCTAAGTCCGAGCAACAGGGCTAGAAATCTGTCCACGCTAGCTTATGGCCTTTATTGTCATCAAAGACACTGAACTGAATGCAAGGCTTTTGATGAATTCAGTGTTTGTAAACGAGGGACATTCGATAATAAGCACTGAGAAATGGAGTAGCAAGACGGATTGGAGAACCAACAAAGGATCAGTAGTCGCCAGCAATCTAAAACGAAAAAGTCTCTGCCAGAGATATTGATGGATTTGGAAGAAATTGATTTCGTGACAATCCCCGAGTACTTAAAACTATAATAGCGTTTGATCGCTGTTGTCAACATATTTTAAAATACTGCTATTCAAGTTTGTTATTGGCAAAAACCGGAAACAGGGGCAGGAGAAAGATTAAACACTACCAAACTCGTTTCGGCTTATGTTACGTTATCTTTCCCCTTCATTCGACTTCTCCTTCTCAACTTCAAATAACTTCAAAAGCTCTCCTTTGAAGAAAAATTTCTTCCCATATTTTCATATCTCTAAGAAAGAGCAATAAAAAAGAAGTACTATTATCCTGTTCGTTTCCACATGATCGTGTATATGTCCTAAGTTATTGTGTTCGCCAGAACTGGCTTGTAATGAAACAAAGTTTTTTCAAGACATCTTTAATGTTTTTACTCCTTGTCTCTTTATTTGTTCACGAGGAAATAACGAATACTAATGACAGCACCTCCACGATTTGATTAAGTTTCATGGTCATTACTTTCCAATGAAGCAACATAAATCGATGAGTCCGCTACAACACAACAAATAAGATGATGACTCGAAGAAGATCTAACTTCATGAAGAGCAAAGTGATTGTCTTATTGTCTGCTTTACTGCTTTTCTCACCTCGCTTATCTTCCAGCAGTAAAGAAATGGATTCAAGGTAGAGTTAAAATAAAGTAAGGCTACTACTGTCCCTCTGATTACAACTATATGTGATGATAATGTTTTTCTACGAGCTGTCACACTTTCAACTATGATATATGGTGCATAACAAACAACTAGAGCTAACTGCACAGACAGTGCACTGTGCACTGCTTTTCTGTATCGCAAAATGTTCAATGAATTTGGTTGGCTCGACTGTTGTTGTACTCGTGCCTTGTTATAATGGAGAGTGTGGAAAATCTTTGTGTACGCGGCGATTGAGATGACTAAACATAACGGTACAATTATATATAAAAACCAAAAGACTATACGTTTATTTAAAATGTAGCATAGAGCAGCAACACCAGACGAAACCCAAACGGTAGCTACTATTACATAAGTACGCTTCAAAGTTACAATTCGTTTGTATCTCAGCCCCAATAACAGGGCAAGAAGTCTGTCAACGCTTATGGTCGTCATTGTCAACAAAGATACTCCACACAGTGCGTAGCTTGATAAGTAGCCGGCGCTTCTTGAGTATCGGCAAAGATTCCATTGTTTGTAAATTGAGGAAATCCGATAAGTAACACTGAGAGGATGGGTAACAAGACCAACCAATAGATCGGTAGTCGCCAGATTACGGTACAAAAGTTTCGACG